GCTCTTAGTTACTCATATCATACAGCATCGACTGATAGAACTAATACTGATTAATTAATTTAAATTCCTCTTAAAAACATGTTTTTGTGGCCCAATTTAAAATACCATCCCAGCACTTTTCAGAATGAACTTAACAAAGTCACGAAGGACCTCAGGGTCTACGAATACCTCCCGAATACGAAGCAGGAGTGCCAACCACAAAATGGAACGAAGAAATTAATTTCAGGACCTAGAAGTAAATTATTGTAATAAGACGGATCTTATGAAATAGGGTACGGAGGTATGGACTGGATTCGTCTGGCTCAGAACGGGGACCGGTGGCGAGGTCTTGTGGACATAGTGACGAACTTTCCGGTTCTATAAAATACGGACAACTTCTTGAAAAACTTAGCAACTAAAAAAATTCTCAAGGAAGAACCCGCTCTATGGAGTTAGAACTCTGTTAAATCTGTTATATGCGTTCCAATATTGAACCACAGGCGGCGTGCGTGTCTATTACTTCATATTTAAACTAAATGTCCGTGTGATATTATTAAAAATCACTGCTCCAGTAGCAGAACGTGGCTTCACGTCATCTGAAACGCTAGCCCATAATTCCAGCTCATTGTGTTTTACGAGAAGCAAAGTTCGTTTCAGATCACATTGTTTAAATTTACAATGTGCATTTGTTTTTCGTTTCACTGCGTCATTCTTCTACGAGATAAGATTTATGATCGACCGATGAAGGACTGTGATAAAAACGCAAGTCCATTGTTAGCCTCACCAGTGACACAAACTGTCAGCGTCTGTCGACAATTCTCACTGACTGAAAACTGAACACTGATGTATAACAATCAACATTAAACTTAAAAATGAAGCCCTAAATCAATCCCTATCGTTACTAATGTCGTCCAAGTGAGATATAATTTTATAATGCAATCGCGTGCTGACGTGAATAATGTCTAAGAGTGATTGCCTACCTCGGACGAGATTTTTCGAGAAAACTAACCCTTCGTAGCCAAAAATCACAAAAACTCAGTCCGCACCGCAAAGAAAACACAACACTTCACCATTACAAAGATCAACTGGTTAACGCTGTTTAAGGAAATAATCGCTGCTTATTTTGATAAACATTTGAAATCCATTTGCAAAAACTACGGAGTTACTGGTTGTTAAAGGAGGTGGTACATATACTTACCCTTGAATTTCGCGTCCTTTGTAATTAATTTTCCTAACATGACTCAACATAAAGTAACATCAATAAAGGGGCAGTACACAAACCGATAATGAAAATTATTCAATATTCGAGATGTTTCCATCAGCACCTGAAGTAAACTGCAGTGACAGCTTCACCGAACAATCTTGCAAACTCGTCGTTGGCACTTCACGCACCTTCCTCGCGCCTTGCCTAGCCGCAACTTCTACGACACTAGTATCGTGCCGGGTAGTCTACACACTGGGGGTAGGCGGTGCGCAAATCCACCATTTGGAGTGCAGAGGGTTTAAGAAACGGGGTCCCAAGCCCAACTGAGACATTTGGACTGAGCCCAAACCGACTCCTCGTATCACAGGCTCTTCACAGGGTCTGGCCAAAAATCTGTCCATTCACTTTCTTCTACTACCAAAGTCAAGAATGCGTGGATCTTACATCTGGGGCTCCTATACGTCTCCATGGAACCTAGTGTTGCGTTTCTTATCAATAAAAACGGGAGGATTATGTCCTTCAAGAAACACAAGCGACGTTTTGGGCGTCTGCAGCGAATGACTTTCCTGTAAATGATTACAGTGCCTCGTGTTAACTCTTCTGTCCTGTTAGAAGCCCGAACGCGTTCGTCCGAGAGCAGAATTACAGATAAATGGGGGTTGGCTTCATGAATCAATGAAGGAACTCAGTTGGCAGCCCTAAGAAGCCACAAGGAAAAAACCTCAAACGCCAACCAATTATCCCGCTATTTTTAAAAGTCGACGAAGTGAATGCCCCGTGGAAGTTGGCACTGGGCAGCCAGCGTGTCTCCTAACAGTTGCTTAATCAGAACACAGACGAGAGGTTGAGTTCACAGACTCCAAGCTGCTCCACGGATCCGAATTCAAAAGTTAACGCCTTTCACCACAAAAAAGTGTTTTTTGAGGAAAATCTACTCCGATTAAATCTTTGCACCATACGGCTAAAAAAATATATTCATTTTAATATTATACTCCCGTCTACTTCTAGCTCTACCAACTGGACTGTCCTTGAACTCATACAACATTAAATTGTCACGTGAGATATCAGGTTCTCATGGCGACGAGTATGAAGATGGCTTCCTCCTGAAATGTTGCGCCGTGTAGAGCTTTACCGACGTTTCAGATATGTCTGCTGCCTCATCGCCCTTAAGACGGAAGAAGGAAGCACCTTAAATCACGCCAAGACCGCTTCCTTACGCATCCTTCCCACTTCACTACCATCCTTTCACTCGAGGCACTAAAAAGCGTCGTTAAATACACTACAAATAAATTAAAGGAAGAGATAAGCTGGACATGCAGCAGGTGCGGGGTGTAAGAAATGCAGATATAA